GGAAGCCAACAGACGGTAGCTGTTAGCAAGCCAGTAGGATATGCGCTGACTGTGTGTGGTAGTTGGTCTGTCTGTGTTTCTCTTCTGGTTTTTCTCATATTTCCTCATATCTCTGTACGTTTATGAAGTGGATTCATAAAGCCTCGGGATATGTTTTTCGCTCCGGTCTTAGTTTGCCTTGGGAGAATTTATTTCTATACTCAACTGCACACATTTAGAGGAGCTTTTTTCCTTACCTTTTGGCAGAGCCAGACTAGCCGATTGCCCGTTTCTAGTCTTTGGACAAAGATAAACTAAACGGCTGCTGGCTTTAGCTTCATATTTAACGTACAGAGAGAGAGTGGTATCGAACTTCTCATTCAACTCCTGGCAAGAAAGCAAATATGTAATGTCAAACTGTTTCTTAATGCCTTAATTCTTAAGTGGTAGTCAGCACAGAAGAGCTAAAACCTGGAGAATATTTGAGAAAGTCTACAGAAAATGTGTTACAGTCAGTTATTGGGAATAGTCTGGATGAACCCTGCGATAGCACTGTTAGATTCATAAATGAACATGCAGTAGGCCCACTTTGCTCTGCAGGGTTAAACTCAGCTAGCACCAGGAAGGCCATTATTTTTTCAATTTTCCCACAAATAGAGATTATTTGTTAGCTGTGTTCATATGAGCAAATTGTGTTTTCAGGATTATGTTGCAAATAGTTGAAATTGGCCATGTTTCCTGCAGGCTACCTTTCCCACTGCTGGCTATTGATTTAGCTTTGTGCCGCTGAGCAAATCTCATACAGACCCCAGAAAAGCAACAAATGAAAATTGCTGAGAGCTATAGATTGCCTGTTCTGCAGGGCTTCAGAAGATGATTATGACAGAATGGGGCTGTTAAACAAGTAATGGGCGTGGGTGTTACTTGGTGTCATCGCTAACAAAGAGGTGTGTGTGTGTGTGTGTGTGTGTGTGTGTGTAATGAGTCAGGGGTGGTGAGGAATGTGAGAGTGGCTGTGTGTGTCGGGGTAAATCAATGCAATTCTTTCACTGCCTTACCTTCCAGTATGTCACTGCATACAAAACTTTAGTTCATAGCAATTAGGTTAGTTAAGGAATATTTACATTTTTCAGAGTTAGATGACTTTCATGTTTGTCTGTGAAATACTAAGGTGGAGCCAAAAGACTGAAAGCAGCTCGTCTGGCTATGTCTAATAAAGATTAAACAAATGAAATACAGCATGTTTATTAATGAGCTTTAGAGGTGTTACTTTTTTCTCCGGACAGAGCCAGGTCAGCTGTGGCTAGGGCTAGTCTCTGGGCTGTCATAGGTGGGAAATAATAAAGTGTAAATATTTTGCTACTGTACATAAGGGTTTTTTTCAGGTATCTGTCCTTTAGTACACAAATACTTTCTACTCCTTACATTTTCAAAACAGGCTTGTCGCCTTAGTTTTAATGCACTTGATAAGGAATTATCAAAAATTATCTCCCCCAAAATCGTGCATATATCACACACGACAGACATAACATGACACATAGAAGATGAAACAGACAAGACCATATTTTAAGAAGAAAGAAAGCAACTTAACGTATTTTCAGAAATATTAAATTATTATTTTAAAGGCAAAACATAAAGTTTTGTAAACAAAGTCTTTGCTTTAGTGAAAACCTTTACTGAAAATGTTGTTTCCTGGGGAGGAATGCAGAAGGAAACAATATGAAACGTGTTTAATGACTTTAATACTGTGTGAATGCAGAATTACATAACTGGCCTGCTCCCTTGGCTCTGGGTGGGTAATTCCACTGACCATGCAGTCAAAAAAAGTGCTGATAGCTTTATCGTACAGGTGTGGCTGGAAAACATGCACCATTTGCATTTACATTTACACTATGCAATGGAGCGCCACACTCCTACACTCGTGCACAAAGTTTATCCTGTAGACATGCTGGTTTTTCTTTTTTGCCATCCGTGTGCTGAACTCAAACGGCAAGCAAAGTAATCCATTTATACTGGTCGTAGTCTACATCCAAACCCTGTTTGCATTCGAACAATGATCCTTTTTTTCTGTAATCCCTCCCTTGTGATTATGATTTCAGTAGTTTCAGCCAATCAGCTCTTGGTGTAGAGACCACAGAGAAATTAACGTGTATTGCAACAGCAATGTAATTTCTAGTGTCTTTTACTGGGTATATATCCAACAACTACAACTACTGGAATTAAAATATATGTACAACTGACTATATAAGACCATGAAGTCCTATTTAGCCTCCTTATTTGCAGAAATACTGTTTAAAAAGTGTGTTTGAAAGAATGTGATAAATACTGTATAAGTCATAGCTCAAGAAATACAACAGAACAAAGATTACTGCATATTTAAAATATTTAAAGACTGGAGTATCAAACTGCACCGAGCTTCCTGTTACACTTGGTGTCGCCCCCGGGGGTGATCGGTCTAATAAGCGGCAACACACAGCTATAAGGACGGTTTGCTCTCACACGCGCTGCAATTATAGTCACACAAACACACACACACGCGCGGTCTTGCTCCAGATTCCGGGAGATTGGATCTCATTTGCGGGCGTCAAGGAG